TTTTTCTTTGCTTTTATGCAAACTGATAAGAAACTGCATGTGTTTGCAAGCCATCAGTGTGTTGCCTAGAAGTGTCCAGTGTTATGGAGAACAGTGGAAAAAGGATTACTGCAGTTGGAGGAGGGATGGAAGCACAAACTGTGAGTTCCTTTAAATAATTAACCAAGCACAATGAACAGAGCAAAGCTTTATTCAAAACTTGGGTTGCTGATTAGGAACCTTAACTTGCAGACCTGTCTGCTGGTCATCCCTGACCTATCTGCTGGGGGTTTGTTCTTCATGGTGCTGTTTGTTCTGTAAAGAACCTCTTAGGCCAGACAGCAAGGCAGGTTTATCGGCAGTTTAATTATATTGCACATTTCAGGAGCGAGATAATTCAAAGAGCTGCACATGGACAAAATAAAATAAAATCAAAGTACATTTCAGTGGCATAAATTGATGGATTGATTGACTTTATTAATATAACAGTGGAGAAATGTCCTCGTTACATCAGCTCAAATGATCAGAGAAGAAGGATGTGCCAAAGGAAGAAAAGGGTGCATGGGATAAATTATACAGTATATACAGTGCGTCCACAAATGACAGCTTTTATTATTATTGTTATTATAGTAGGATTAGTATACAGGTTTATTGTACAGGGTGTTTACATGGGTATTTATATGGATGGATATTTATTTGTATATATAGTTATTGCACAGGGTATCAAATGGTAAACTGCACATTATACATTTCACAAGTTAATGCCGTTGTAGTGTCGCATTGTAGAGTCTGCTCCTCTACAGTCTGGTGCAGAGGGTGGAAGGTATTATCCATGATGGATGTAAACTTGGACAGCACCCTCCTCTAAAAGGCCATTTAAAAAAAATATGTTTTTAATCTCAGTTTAAAGCTAATTCGTTTAAGCGCTTTTACAGCTTTCTGGGAGTTTATTTCAGTTTAGTGGAGCATCGGAACTGAAAGCTGCTTCTCCATCTTTGGTTCTGGTTACAGTTTCTAAATACATGTATTTTGGAGCAAAGCCATTCAGTGATTTATAGACTAACAGCAGGATTTTTAAGTCTGTTCTCTGAGATACGGGGAATCAGTGGAAGGACTTTAGAACTGGGCTGATGTGCTCTACTTTCTTAGTTGTAGTGAGGACACAGGCAGCAGCATTCTGGATCAGCTGCAGTTGTCTGATCCACTTTATAAGCAGAGCTGTAAAGGCCGCTCTTTTAAAGGTCTTGATGAGACATTAGTTCTTTATTCCTGGAGATGTACTTTAGGTGATAGAAGGGCAACTTTGTTCCTCTGAAGGTTCAGGTCTGAGCAATGGCATAATGAACCAACAATAGGCTCGTAAGGAATATTATCTTGGTGGGCTCTGTATGAAGTACAACACGTGATAAAGGTTCAGGAGACGGCGACAATTCCATAAATCGGCCAATAAGATACAATTATGCAATTCTCAGTAGTATATGATCACACATCTCTCACGGAAAAATAGTGACTGCACACGTTGAATGGAACCGTTGTTGACAGCGCACCAACACATGTTACAGACATCCCAAGTTCCAAAAACTGATTTCAGGGAGATGCTTATTGTTTATTTTGGGTAGTTTTGTGCTGTTCTTTCAGCAGCTCTTCTTTTCTTTTTCTTTTCTGGAATCCGCTTAAGTACCTCTATTTTGTATCCATCGTCACTATGTAGCGGTTATGGTTTTAATCTACTCTCTGAGTTACCCATAATTCCAAGTCATAGTGTAAAAAATAAAATACTCAAATACATTGTTCTTTTAAGATCTTTATTGCAGTTTTAAACATATTATATGAGTGTATTATTTACCAACCGTCTAATGAACTATACACAGTTATTAACATAGTAATTAAAAGTACCACTGTCTGCTATTCTATTGGTGTCGTGTTTAAATGGCTCGCCATCATGTTGAAATCTGGGATGTGTTGCGGTATAAATACGGTCCGGTGGGTCACTTTAGTATCAGGTAGGTTTAAGAGGAATTTTTCACACCATTACATCTGCAAAGAGACGTCCTAGTCTACAATTGTGTAGGGGGTCCACCAGGTGTTAGTGATGGGGATCCTAAGAGGTTGTGGGCCCGTCAGCACATGCTGTCTCTGCTTACCGATATTTACGCCATTGGGTCTGAGTCCATCACTACATCCAGATTTAGAGCCTGATTGCTGCTTTGTAATTGGATTAAATTAAGCTCTGTGTTAAATTTTAAACACTCTTCCTTGGTCCAGAAAAGTATTACTGTTCTTTGATGTCCTCAATGTGTTAATTTCTTCTTTGCATTTACCCACAGTTAGAACGGGTTCATAGTCACCTGGTGACATCTTAATGGACAACTGTGTGTCATCTGCATAGTTATAGTAACTTAGATTGTTGTTTAAGATCTGAGTTTGGGTGAGCAGGCAGATATTAAAAAAGGGACCCTTGGGGAATTCCACATATAACGTTTTGTGGTCTATGATGTAAAGTTAGCTACAAACAGAGAAAAGAAATTGTATTTCAAGTAGGTATGAAACCAGTCCAGTGCTATACCAGAAAGGCTCAACCACTTTCCAAGACAGAAATGAATGCTGCACTAAGGTCTAATAATACCACCGTTTATACAGATGCCATTGAGCACCTTGACAAAGACAGTTCCTGTAATATGGTGAGTGAGTGTGGTTTATGACATGAACCCCAGAAAACACATGTAAAGGGGTTCAAGGGCTGTGATACCTTTTCAGGTTGCCATAGAGTGAATCTGAATGCATTCGTCTCTCCGCCTGCTGTACAGGAAAATCTAGTTTGCTGCCTTTGAGGATGCTTGCCAGTTGTGACTCAGGGGATTCTGGCTTTTTTCTCTTGCAAATAACATGATGAATATCTGAGGTCATGATATGAGCCACATGTCTGAACTTGTACAGTTGATCTTATCTGGTTATTTGTTTGATGGCTGTAAACTTGTACAGTCATTGTACGTGCCGTCCTTCTGTAAAATGTTATTATGTTATTAAAAGGTTATTATTCCCACACAAGCCCATCGTTTCTGTCATTGCTGTTGTCATGGTAGTGTTCCCCCATGGAGTCCCTCCCCTGCTTCACCGCTCTCCCAGCGGTACCAGTTGTTAATCAGCCCAGTGTAATGGTCTTACTTCCATACTCCAGGTTTAACCTTAATTTGGTGAACTAAATCAGATAGAAACAGATATTGGTTCTATTTTTATTTTTTTTTTGGAAGGAGGATCAATAATTTGATTAAAGTTAAATAATGTCTAAAAATCTGTTATTTTATGCAAGCCAGTTAGTTATACGTCAGCCTGAATGCCTAAA